CGGGGCCGATCCTTACCCGCCCAGCGAGGGGAGGCTCTCTCGCGGTGAAGCCCGCGGGGGTAGACCCAAGCCCACCAGGACGGCGGCGAGAGGACGGCGGCGATCGCTGCTCCCAGAGCCGGAAGCCCCCAGGTTCCCTCGGGCACAGAGGACAAGCCAGACTTTGGGCGACCCAGGGCTCAGCCAACCGGACGCCAGCGTCGGAGGACTCGGATTGGCCGGGCGGGGGTCGGAGGCGTGGTCAGGGATGGGTGGCGAAGAGCGTAAGGAGCGGCATGCTCAGGGTTGGGTGGTAGGTGACGCGCACACGGGACCGGAACCGGTCCCTGGGACGCCAACTCCAGACCCAGCGGTGCCTGCCGGGTTGGTGGGCTGGGTGACCCAGCAGCCCAGAGATCCTAAGGACAGGAAGTGCAATCGCGGTCCAGGATGTGTGCTTAAAGACAACCACGTTAGGCCGGGTGTGGTGGCACACGCCTGAAATCCCAGCAATTGGGAGGCTGAGGCAGGAGATCGCTGTGAGTTGGAGACCAGCCTGGGCTTCATAGTGAGTTCCAGGTCGGTCTCAACTACATAGTGAGACCCTGTCTCAAAAACAAAACAAACAAACAAAGACAACCACGTTGTTCACCCCAAAAGACTAGAGGTTTACAGACCTGCAGGAGGACCCCTGTGGATTGGGCGCTGTCTCTGGAATATTTTAATCCATCTTTATGTCAGTAAAGATCTGTGGGTAACAATCTTATTTCTGCTGAAGAATTTACAAAATATTTTCTACTTTAAATAGGAAGTTGTCAGGCCAGGCACGGTGGCACATGCCTGTAATCCCAGCACTTGGGAGGCTGAGGCAGAAGGATTGCAGCCAGTTCAAGACTAGCCTGGGCTACACAGTGAGTTCCAGGGCAGTCTGAACTACATAGTGAGACCCTGTCTCAAAAACAAAACAAAAACAAAAGAAAGTTGTTACTTCTGTGCCTTGAAGGTACATTTCCCAGGAATGCTAGCATTTGAGACTGACAAGGTGACACTCGTGGACTACCAGGCTAATTGTAATACTTTCAATCCTGTAGGGACAATGACAGTAAAACCTTGGTTTGCCAGCATACTTCCTTCTGGAAACACTTGTAATCCAAAGCACCAGTATATCAAAGTCAATTTCCCAATAATGGAAACTCAGGTGATTGATTCTTTCCACAACCCAAAAATACTCATATAAAAATGATTATAACACTGTAATATAATGCAAAATAATAAAGAAATAAAGAAAAATAAACACATTAACCTGCAACTTGCCTTTAAAAACTTCCATGGCTGGTGTGAGAGAGGGTTACTGTGCAGGATGGCTTTCGCCATCACCAACTCACCTAAAGGAGCCACTGCTGTCTATTGGCTCAGTCGAATCTTTTTCTTTTTATGCAATTCTAACAAGGAGCCTATCTAATGAATTGGCTTTTGCCTCCTTTTGAGAATTTTGTGGAGTGCTGGAGATTTGGCTCAGTGGTTCTGCTGCCTGCCTTGCAAGCACAAGGTCCCCAGTTTGATCCCCAGAACCAAAAAAAAAAAAAAAAGACAGAGTCGTGAAAATGTGACATTGCATTGTCATTAAACAAATTCATTGTTCATAGTGCTACAGCTTCATTAGGATGGTGCTTTTCTATAAAATTTTGCAGTGTATGCTACATTTTACACATCTCCCTAAAATCATTGTTTTTATTGCTACATTTTAGGTATACAGTATAGTTACATTCATTGTTGGGATCTTGTACCTGTATATGACAGGTCTTGGTTCTCATTTTTACCCCTTGTCCCTGCCCTCCCTTCACCCCCTCCTCCCCTTCCCATCCCTAAAATCATTTGAAGTGAGGGGTTTCTCTAGCTTTTTCTCCTCTTCTTCTGCAGATGAGAACTGGGGGGCGGGCATTGGCTCATGTGATCATGTGACATTAGGCGTTCCGTACCACTCCTGCTGCAAGACATTGCTCGTTTACCAAGATAAAATGCATTAGAAATGTTTGCTCAATCTTACAGATCAATAGAACAAGCTGCTCACAGTCCAAGGTTTTGCTGTTCTCTTGTGCCTGATGATTGGCCTAAATATTTCACCTGCAAATGGGCAGAGTGCAAATTTTCTGGAACTTCAGCACCCTGAGGGGCGGCCTTGATGTTTCACCATGGAGATCTGGGTGAAAGTATGAGTGGGGATGATGTTGAAAGCCCGGGAGAAAAACTCGGGCTTATTCTTCACCTCTCCTTCAGAGCCTGGTAGTTGGCTGGCTGAGCACAACCTCGCAAAGATCCTGATGGCTCTGTCAAGTTGAGCTGGGTTCTACAGAGTCCAGTTTGGTGGCCCTAAGAGACAGTGAAAGTGCTCTGCTCAGAAGCTGTACACACTGAGAAATTCATTGTTCTCCAGATGATGACTGGTGTCTCACAGAAATATTTTTTAAATCCCTTATTGGCAAGCATATTTGGTTAGTAAAGCTTTCCACAAGGAAGTGAATTCTCATAGCTACCATGTTCCACACAGATACCTCTGATGTGGGCAATTAACTGAAAGTTTAATAGAAGGAACACGTGTCAAGGATATACTTAACTCATCAATTAGGGACCCAGCAGGATGACAGAAGAAGAATTTATTTGAAGGACCTGTTTGTATAGTCAATGTGAAAAATGCTGTCATTGATTAAAAGATTGGTTCAAAACTGACTAATACCCTATACAGTGATGAAACCATAACCCCTGGAGCATTTTGTTTCTCTTAGACAAATCGTTTACATCTCTGTCCACTGTAGTTTTTTAACACTCTGAGTAAGTGAGCTTTCCTGGGAGAGACTCATGTTGGGTCCACTTTTGGTTCCCCAAGTGGTTACGAGGCATCCTGGCCCTGCTTCTGCAGCTGTCTGGGCTGGAGGAGGGCAGGAGGGACAGTTTTGCAGGAGAGATGCCTTCCTGAGTCGAGGAGTGCCCTCCTGAGTGTGACACCACGTCCATGCTGAGTATGGGTTCCCCACTCAGAGGAGTGAGAGCCCCTGAGGATGCCGCTCAGCTCCTGCCTCTCCAGCTCTCAGCATGTCGTAAGCTTCCAGTACGTTCTCCCTGCGAGGTGCTTCGGATGGGAGTAAGACTCCCAGCAACAGCCAAGCATCCATCCAAAGCTCCAAGTTCCACTTGGCCTTATGACCAGGTTCTCAAGAGCTAAAATGCAGAGGAGGCTCTAAAGCAGGGGAGTGCAGCTACTCATATACCCTTGACTGAGGCAATGGTCCTCCTCTATCAGGGTGGTCGTCCTCTTCAGCCGAGCACGCAGCTTCGGGAGGGATGCACATGGAGCGGTGAGGAAGGAAGGGGACCCCGCCTAGCCAGCCAGATCAGCTGAATCAACCCTGGCGATCAATGGGGTGACAGATGTTGCAGCCAGATCGCCCTCACATCCTGTATGACCAGGTTCTCCCGTGCCTTTGAAGACCTCAGGGAGGGGGGTGTCAGTCTAACGAGATCCACCTTAGAGGAGTTATTGCAGGTGACCTGTCCTGCCCGGGAAGGGAGCTGGCACAGAGAGCCCCAGGCACTTTTTGGTGCAAGAGCTGTGTCTGGCTGTAGTGGATCTCAGGGGACAGGGCATCCACGTCACAGGGTCATGCTTGGTGTGGCTTTTTTTTTTTTTTCAGACTGCAGAGTACAGTCTACAGTTTGTGAATGTCAGCCATGGTGATTGTTTTAATTTCTGATTTCAAACCATGAGATAAATGATTAAAGCATTTGACCACTGTTGCATGCAGTCATGAGGAATTATTCCGTCATGTGGTCCAGTTAACAGTGCAAGTGTGAAATCCAGAAGAACTTTGACTTCTCCCTCTGTCCCCAGACACCATGCACCTATGATCTGCAGCTCTGTCCTAAGTGTTTTTTTATTGTCTTTTTTCCCTCCTTTGTTTCACTCTACACACTCTTCATTCAGGCCCTGACTGGGGTTTGCTACTCAGATTCCTGTAGCAACTCAGTTTGGCTGATTCAGTTCCACCTCTGCGATCCATTCTCTCACTGCTTCCTGGCTGAGCTCCTTGCAGTGTAAATCTGACCACAATGGTTTGTAGGTGTCCACCAAAGTCCATGTCGAGGGAGCAATCCACAGATCTATAGGATGGTGGTATTAGGAGGGGAGGCCTTTGGAGGTGTTAGGATTAGAAGGCACAGGAGTAAGGGCTCCCGATGGGTAGTGGGTGTGGAACCTGAGCCCGCTGCCATGCCATGCGGGGCCGCACCGGGTACGCCCTGACAAGATGCAAGCCTCTGGTACCCGACCTCCCAGCTTCCAGAATGGTCAGCTGGTTTCTCTTGTCTGTCACTTGGTCTGAGGCACCCCATGAGAGCAACATAAAATGGACACTGCCCATGCATCTTCCTTGAGTTTCCCCCACGGCTGAAAATCTCACAGTGAGTTTCCCTTTGTCTTCTGAGCAACTCTAAGCCTCCCAGCCTGGCATAGAAGGCCTGGAGGATTTGGCCTTTGTCTGTCCTCATGCCCAGTCATATCTCTAACCCCACATGACCAGATGAGTTTCCATTTCGGGTGAGTGTGGGATCCTCGACATCTCAGAATCTCCGTGCTCCATGTGGACCCAGGAAGTCCGACCCACCCGGGGGATACATTTTCTCCTCCTGAGATCCTGTGCTCTCTCAGGCTTTCTTTATTCTCAAACTTATGTCACAGAGTTCACTTATGATTGATAATTCTCTCATTACTTCCCTGGGCACACCCAGGAACACATCCACCTTGTATTAAGTGTGGTTTGTCACTTTGAAGGATTTCTTTGTCAGCGGGTGGTAACTCAAGGCAACAGGATTTCACCATTGCCAGCTTGCTGTGTTCAACTGGATTAGGAAAATTGGTACCAAGAAAACCAATATCATTTGACTCCATAAATTTCAGAGGAGGTGGACTCAATTATAGAGTCTTCTATTACACCCAAATCACCACCTCAAGATTTTAAAAATGATGTCAAAGATACAATAGCTTCTCACTTGTAAATTCTATTTTCGTGCTTTTAAATTTTATTTGTAATCCCAAATCGGTACTCACAGGTCCTTGACAGCCATTCACAGACATACCCAGAGTGCAGATTAGACTCCCCAGATGCAGGCAGTCACAGCTGAGATCCAGCACAGTGAAGACCCATCTCCTTATGTCCCCTGCTA